ATATATATATATATATATATATATATATATATATATATATATCAGCTAATTTAGGTTTTTGTTACTTGAAATATACCAACAACAACATATTATGACAAATCTATTGAGATAACAAACAGTTCCACGCTAGTGCCAAGCAACCATCAAATCTGATCTTTCGTTTGCCGCCCCGGTGATCTTCCTGAAGATTCTACGCCCATTTGGCGAGGAGGGACATCAAACCTGCACCTACAAGAAGAGCAAGGTGTGCTCCCAGCTGAAGCCTGCCATTGCTCTGCATCCGGGGGTTCGTGAAGTCCGCCGCCAGCAGATCGACAAGAGACATGTAAACGAGGATACCCGCAGAGGCAGCGTTGAAGACGCCCTCGACGATGAGCGCCGTGGAACTCGTCTCGTCGTAGACGAAGGATATCGCGGTGCCCACCGCGATGCCGATGGGAGCCGTGAGGGAGAAGAAGACCGCCATCATCAAGCTCGACTTGGCTCTAAAGTTTGCCTGCGGCGCCACAGGAAATGTAGGTGGAAACATACGATGACACGTTCCCAGAGTCATTAGAAGACAGGACATGTACCTGAACTATGCATCCACCGAGCCCTATCCCTTCAAAGAACTGATGGAAGCTCAAGGCTCCCACCAATGGCCTTATGGTGGAGGGACTTTGAGAGGCACCCAAGGAAATCCCAATGATCACCGAATGGACCAGAATTCCCAGCTCCAGAACCTGCATACATCAGGAGAGGTACTTACTATAACATCCAAAACAGAGGAAAAGCAGAGATCGTTTCTTTCATCTTTCTTTTGTCCTCCACAAATTGATGAATCATAGTTTTATCTGTAATTTCGCAGCCTTTGTTCTTCAAGAAGGAGAAAAGTAAATGGAGCACACTGCACACGATGCTTACTTGGGAGATGACTTGCTGCCGAATCCTCTCAGAAAGCGAGGCCGCCTCCGTCGCCGCTGCTGCGGAGGCATGCGCGTGTCCGTGGGAACGGTGGGTGTCGACGTGAGCATGGTCTCCCGAGGACCCCTGCCCGGCCTCGTCATCCTCCTCGACCGGTCTTGCCTTGCTGAAGTGAGACCTCTTGTAGTAGCTGGTGGCGAAGGAGTCGATCATCATCGTCCCCAGTGCCGACGACATGACCACGAACCCCGTGACCGGGAAATCCTGCCACGGGTGCTCGTCGAGGCACGGCGACGTCAAGCTCTGGAATGCGGCGGGGAGGATGTGTATTAGCCCCGTCGCAAGTATGACTCCGGCCGCAAAGGCCTTGATCACAAAGAACATGTCGTTCTCAGGTCGCAGAGCGGAAACCGCCCTCCCCAGGATGGGAATGAGAACTCCGACGGCGCCCGCAGTTAAGATGGAAGCGATGGCTACCAACTTTAGATGAGACGCCTTGGTCGTGCTGTGGCTCTCGGCGTCCCGGGTGCACCCGCAGTCACCGAGCGCTGGGATGGGGAGGAGTAGGAGGAAGGAGAAGAGGAGAAGCAGAGGCTTCATGGCTTTCATGGCACCGAGTACGAAGTAGCTGCTTCTGTAGGGTGTCAGTGCGTGGGGAAGCCCTTAAATAGAGGGTGGAGTAGTACGTGTGGGCACGGGAACGATCGATGGACTCATATTAAGCGCTTGATGAGCCCAAAAAGACGTGGTAAGAGTCTTTTGTTGCTGAGAGAGAGAGAGAGAGGGCTCTTGTTGTATGCAGGAGGGAGGCTTTTTGTTATGTTAGTGTTGACAGAATGTTGTCATACTACATAGACTAATAAACAAAGGAGGAGATATGTCCATTAGCAGGCAACAACAAAAGCTTGTCATTCAACTATGGAAGAGACTGTTGGGTGTCACCAAAGAAAAAATAATTAGTAAGATCTCAGTTTGTACAGCATTTAACATGGCATGTTTTCTGGTCCTCCCCTGGAATGAGTGGGATTCAACGAGGTACCATCTTTGTTGATTAGTATGTAGTAGTAGCTTGTGCTATTTGAGTCATATGGTCTGCTCTGATATTTTTATGAATATTTTTATTAGGAGTCATAAATCTTAATAGGCAGCAATGCAAGATACTGTAGCTTATCTTTAATTACATCATGTGCTCATCTTGCGTCAATTTACCTGCTGAAGTTTCAGGTACATTAGATTTGGTGCTGAAAACAGGTCATAAGAAACGACGAATGCAAGCAAACGTAATGGACGTCGGTTGTGAAATGAATGTGTGTTTGAAGGTGAACTTTGCCGAGAAACATGGTAATCGAAAGGGTAATAATACTATGATCTCTTGCACACCATCTTGAATGAAGATCCAACTTCTGCAGTAAATACTGGTAACAGACAAACTATTCTAACTTAGCTCTCGAGTAAGGAGAGCTTCAAGAGGGTGTCCAAAGGTGCAGCAAAGAGAGAACGAAATCCTTTTGACACCACTGAAGCTTTTCGGAACGATGATGATGATGATGTGTGCAGCATATGGACCAGTTCACTGCGCTTGGTTCCTCTAAAACAGTAGTAAAAATAGACTAGTCCAAAGCCTACAGTGGATCCCTAATCTTGCATGAATGGAGGGCCAATTGTTCCGCTGATATGTTACGTCTTTGACGCAGATTTCTCCACCACCCCCACCTCGGACAAAGCACATTAACACAGAAACAGTGGCTGGCGCTATGGATGAGGAAGGCACTGGTGTCCACCGAGTCCATACGTGGTGGGAGTCGAAGCTGTATCTACAGGATGAAGTGCCGGTTACTTGGGAATTCTGTCTCCTTAGTTAGTTCTTCGTCGCTAAGGACTTCACAGGAAGGTGACGTGGGTGAATGGAGACGACTGAGAACTGTAGATAGATACTGATAGGGTTGTCATAGTAGCGGACTGTGGAGGTTTCCTTGTGCAGATTCATTCATTACTTTACTCTATATGTCCATATAAGATGTGATCCATGAGAAGAGGGTATTGGGAGGGTAGATACAAGAGTCTTGGATTGATGCTGATCCAGTTGAGCCTTTGTGGCTCATGCAGACTTGTCCTTGGTGTTGACAACAGAGAAAGAGATTTGACTTGGGAATCCTCTTCTGGCCCACGACAACCCCAACTTTTCCTGAAGGTGGTGGTAGAACAATCATGCGACCCACAGCACCATGAGTGATCTGTGAAGCTCTCCAAGCTTGACCTCGCGTACCTCAATTGTCAGGCCACGGTACGGCTACACTGTACGAGAGCGTGTCTTACAGTGCTATGAATGGAAATTAAGCTGCAATCCTTCTGTCGAACGCTTTGTGATCATTCTCCGACTGACCTTGTGGATGATCATTGAATGTCTCCTTAACGTCTCCACAGTGATAAGAATGGAACTTCACGGAACAAAGCACAATCTTTGGTCCGCTGAATGATAAGCTGAAATGGTCACATGGGGCTATCGGATCAGGCGATATAAAGAATGGGGACAGAGGACAAGCAGGCCTGCAAACTGTCGAATCTATCTTGTCACGTATATTCCTATTTACGACGACCGAAGTGGTCATCCTCGCACCTTTATATACGGCTACCATCAAGTGGCTCTCCGGTGGATGGCACCACTCTTGCAACGCAACAGTAGTCGTCCGCTCGTTCACACAGGAAACCATTACAAATCTTGTTGGCTTTTTGCATGAGAAGAAAAGAATACTAGAAAAAATTATGAATACCA